AGCTATGCTGGCTGGGGAATTCTGGGAGTTGGAGTCCACCCATCTGAAAGCTGCCAAGGTTGAGAAATACTGGTTTATAGAGTTATTCTGGTTCTGATCAAAACAGTTACTGGCTTCTTTGTTCTATTGATTCCTGTTGGCAGATCCACCTCACTACCCAAACAGGAAAGAAACAATGATTATAATATTATATTTATGTGATAGCCTATTTATACTGCTCTTTGAATAAAAAATTCAAGGCAGCCAACAGCATTAAAACTGCCAGCAAAAGGAGATACAAGCCTGATAAATATAAACGTTTTGTGCAACTAAATTGCTCTCTCCCTGGTATAGAAATGAGAACTCATCCAAACGAGTGTTACAAAGAGGCTATAACTGAAAATACCTTCTTGTGAAACACTATTCTTCTCATGGCTAAAAGCATGGGCTTTAAGGAGAATTGTAAAAGTGAGGATGCAGATTTAGTTGAAATGAACTCTCTTCTAATCAGATACCTCAGCATATGCTTACCTAAAGAACCTTTCCTTCTGTATGAATGTGCAATTTAACCCACACACGCTTTACACATAAATGCACATTTGTACATTTTAAAGGTAATACTGCAACGATTTTAAAGTGTTGTTAGGGCATTCATGGACTGAGAAATCAGATGGATTGCTCAGTCCTGGAGATGTCAAACAAGGGAGTTTGAATTTGCTTTAAACAAAATTGAATCAGTCAAGCTTCTCTACTGAGAGCCGCAAAATGTGGACCCAGTGTCCTAACATTTCTGAAATAACATCTCTTGTTGGTTAGAGAAAAGGATGGATTTTGGATAGGGACAGAAATGAAAATGCGCATCATGAAAAAAGAGCAGAACTTCTGGGAGATACTTCAGATGTGATGATCTTTGTCACCTAATTTTTCATCCCTCCCTATGTGTAAAAAGGCACACAGATTATGTGAAATGTTTTTTGATAATCCATGAATCCCTTTGTAGCTAACCATGGTGCTTTCTAGTATGTGCATGCAGACTAAAGTAAAAAATAAGAGCAACTAACAACTAGTTACAACTGGTGGCTTGCATGCGTTTTCTTATCCAGATGTACTATATTACCCAGATGTACTATATTATCTATGTGGGAAATAAGTAATTTTTAAAGGGTTGAGATGATGGAAGAGAACTGAGCTGAAAGTAATCTTTAGCTCTGTTCTGCTGCCATCTGGTGACTCTGAAAAGCAGCACAGGATCTTGGTATTGTAGATCTCTGTGGACAATCAACCTAGAGATTCAAGAATTCTTTAATTCTAGCATTCCAGTTTATGCAACCGTCAAGCTTTTCCAATTCATTAAGCCATCTATTTTGTGAATGAAATCTTTCACCCCTTTCTTTTGTGCACTGTCTTTAGCATGGGCTCCTGTCTTGTTTTAAACAAGATGTGTTCCCCATCACATCTCAAATGTAATAGCATGATCCAACATTGATTTTTAATCAGGGTATTAAGTTGGGTAATTGATGATGGGTTTTGGATTCTCTTATAGATAGAAGAACTGTGCAGTGAGAAAATTAGAATTAGATAAGAAGCCAAGTGGTTGATTTTGTTCTGTTTTTTTTTTAAATCCTTGGGATTGAGAGAGTTTTAGGGCTGATGGCCAAATTATTTTCCCAATTTATCTCAGGTAGTTTTGGTTTCACTCTGTTAGTAACTCTCAGCAAGGAAGATTTCAGAAACCAGCTGCATGCTTCTTTGCAGCATAATCAACAATACAGGGTGCTAAGAAAAGACAACCCAAACATGGAAGCAGATTTCTAACTGATTAGGTCACATTTTTGCCATCTTCTGTCCCCAACATTCATGTCTTGGTTTTCCTTTCCATAAGAGATGGGGTTACACCTTTAAAAAGGAGCTTTATTTATTTATCAAATTTATATGGCCTCCCATCTCACAAAAAGATGACTTTGGGTGGCGTACAACAAAATTAAAAAACAATAAGCATATAAAAACAATTATTATTAAAAAGTTTAAAATCCCAAGGCTAAAAGAGAGCAACAGATTTTAACAACAATAATGGAGCCACCTCAATATCTCACTGGTCTCCGGGGGCCCCCAGGCCTGCTGACATAACCAGGTCTTGAGGGACTTCCAGAAGGTCAACAGGGATGGAGCCAGCCTCAATTCAGCCTCATTTCATTTTCTTACAACCATCTCAAATGGCTTGATCATACCTGTAACAGAAACTTTCTAACTAATGTGAGAGATCATCTTGGAACTACTGGCCCCTGGAAGTGTATCTAACCCCTTTGCTCTTGGGCTTCCCAAGGTGGTTAAAACTATCTTGTTCAGATGAGTTTTCAGTTGCAGAGATGAGATTGGGCAACTGTTTTTCTGGATTTTATTATTTTATTTATACAGTGATTTACAGATAATTCAAGTTGGTGTACAATAATAGAAAAATGAATAAATACCAATCTAGGCTTAACTAATCAGCTAGGCACCCCAGATACCATCAATGATGAAACGCTTGGTGGAAGAAGAATTTTTTTCAAGTCTTCTTCAGAAGTAAGAAGACCTTCTTATCTCAGAAGACAAGGGAAATGCAGTAATAATTTTACTGACTCTTTCTGGTGCTTTTTAGGTTGTTTGACTTCTTTTGGTAAACTGGCAGGATAAAAATACAACACAATTTAATTGCTTTCCCAATAGCATTTATGTGTATTTTGGTCCCCCTGCTTAATTTAGTCTTCCCCAGCTTGACTGGGAATTATGAGAATTGAAGATCAACACATCTGGAGAGCATCAGGGCTGGAAAGGATAGTCTAATGTAACTGAACGGTCCTGGACAGATATGCAACATGTGACATCTCTTTCTCTTTTTCTCTCTAACATACAATTTTGTCACACAATTGAATGCCAAGACCCCCAAAAGGATGTCAAAACTGGGAGGACAGGGATATGTCAGAATGGAGTGATGTGCATTTTAGATCCCTAAATATTCCAACAAAAAAACCACGGGGCTGCTGTTTTCAGTTCTTTAGCTCTCACAACATCTGGCTCCATTTCTGGATGGAGGCTGTATGTGGGGTGATTCTGCTCTTGTTCCTGTCTCTCTCTTTTTTTAAGCTACTCCATCTTAGCACCATTGTTCTGTTAATTTTTTTTCCTAAAAACTCTGTGACTATGGCATTTCAGGATCCAAAGTTGGCCCTCAGTGTAAGTGTAAGCCATGCTCCTTGTCTCCATTTTATTGTGCTGTTGCTGTGTTGTGTGTTAAATAGTTGCTATGTTTGTTGCATCTATGTAAACCATGCCATTATTTAAACCTCTACTAGGTTCTGTGGTCTTTGTAGACCTCACTTTTATTTTCTTACTTCTTTGTCTCTTTTCTTTAGATAGAAGAGCGTGCAGAGTTCTTGAACAAATCCGCCCAGAAGAGGTAAAGAGCTCAAACACCAAGAAAAAGGTCATAATGAAAGTATAGTGTGCAGGATATAAACTGACAAGTCTCTGTCATTTCATTCTTTTCACAGTGGCATGAAACCTACTCACACAACTCCAGTTGTCTCCAAGATAGACAGTAGGCTGGAACAATATACCAGTGCAATTGAGGTGAGCTGCACATCTTCTCAATTTCCTGTGTTCTTCTGATTGGCCACTGTGTGTCAAGACAAATCAAGTATTTTTCATAGACCAGCATTTTTAAACAAGTCATTAAGTACTCTGGAATTCACTGGAAGCGATGGAGCAATGGATATTTATTTAAACTTATGAGCTCTGCCCCAACATATGATGTAGGGGCTAGCATGTTGGATAGGACCAGGGAGACCCAGTTTTAAGACTGTCCTCAGCCATGGAAGCTCACTGAATTATTTTAGGCCAATTACCCAGTGTCAACCCAACCTATCTTATAAGGATTTTTGTGGGGAGAAATTATACACTGCCTTAAGCTTCTGGAGAAAAGGTGAGATAAATCTAACAAATAAATAAAATATATTTCATTCATCCATTCATTGTGGATTGGTTTTGGCCATCTGCTTTCCTGATTGTTGGTTTGTAAGTTGGTGAGAAAGAACCGCCTGGATCGAAGCAGGCTGTAGCCAATAGCAGGTGACAAAGTAGGAGGAAGGAAAATGTGGAGTAGGAGAGGAGTGGTGCTACATCAGTCTTGTGACATTGGAGCAGCTATCTTGACTCACCAGTTGTTTCTTGCAGGGCACCAAAGCTGCAAAGGCCACCAAGCCAGCTGCTTCTGACCTCCCAGTCCCTGCTGAAGGAGTTCGTAACATCAAGAGTATGTGGGAGAAAGGCAATGTGTTTTCATCACCCTCTGGCATGGGGACACCCAATAAGGTACATGTCCCCTTTCAGAATCTTCTGCCCTTGTGACTACCTCTGCCCCAATTCAGTCAATGCAAGGGCAATGCAAGGATTATAAATAAGACCTGAGGTAATAATATACTGGAAATGCAGGTTCTGAACTTCAAACAGGAAGAGAATTCTGTGGTTGAGCCTGTTGAAAAGTATTTTTTATCCTGCTTCTGAGATGGTGTTTCATGGAGACATTCCTCCAAGTTTTTGAAGCTATGAAACAAAGCTTTGTCCAACTTTGGCATAACATTTCATGGATTGATAAGCTTTTCAACTGTAGGATGCAACCCTCCTGAATGTTTATTATTATTGTTATTTTAATCATATGTCTTGCAAAATTGTCTGATCTCACAAGAAGTGGACAGTCTAATTTCTAATATTACAGGACCTCACACAGGAATGCTGAAATTTTGTGAGATTTAAGGTAGTCACTTGAAATCTCCTAAGATTAGGGTGCTTTGCTACAGACTGTCATGAGATTTCAACATTCTCACATGAGTTCTTGTGAAATTGCACAATTGTCTATATATAGCTTATCCCTATGTTGATACTTACTATGAAGCTTCCAATTTCATTTTCAAACAATTGTTCTACAGGAAACAGCTGGGCTGAAGGTCGGAGTCTCCAGTCGTATCAACGAATGGTTAACTAAGACCCCAGAAAGCAACAAATTGTCTGCTTCAAAACCATCAGTGAGTATTTGCTCCTCTGTTTTCAGTAGTATCATCATCTAGTCTGCAGGAAAGATAGAAGCTTAATCATTTATACAGGAAGGAAAGAGAACTTCAGTGCTATTTTGGTGGGCATTACTGGCTTCAGATTTTGGGATGGGCATCCACAGAGGCTTACTTTCCTTGTAGAAGCTTCTTGTCCTTGCCATCATCACTGGTTGCTTGCCCAGGCAGTTGGCAGGTGAGTTCAAGGATTGTGCCTAGTGCTATGTTAAACCAGAACAGGTAAGAAGCAAGCACATCATGGAGAATGCAGGATTCAGTATATATTCGAACCTATTAATGAACCCTACCATTTGTAAATGATCATAAACCACAAGGGTGAGAGCTCAATGTTCAGAATAAAAAGGTTGTTTCTGTTTTGAGTTTGCAAAGGGCATCCATACTCAACCTGGTGTTCTCCAGATTGTTTAGACCATGGTTCCTATAATTCCCAGCCAAATGGAAATTGTAACCTGAGGTAGACAGAGGTTGAAGGAGGTGTCTGAAAGAAGTCAGTTGATTACTGTTGGAGCTAGAGTAGCGGTTTAGATAGCTGTGGTATGGTATGAATGTGCTGTTTCTACATTCTTACTTCTCTATTCAAAATTAGCAGCCAGATGTTTATAAGCCCAGAGAGAAACATGTTTCATTTAAGAAGGCTGGACATTATAAGTGGACTACGGTAGAATAACTCACAGAAGTGAGTTTATACTAATCTGTCCTTTCTCTCCATTCCTTCTTTCTTAGTCAACTGCTTTCTTCTCTTCCCTCTTTCACCACCACCACCTTGGCTGGAATTCTATATATATCTCCGTTGCTCTATTCTTCTTTTGGATTGGCTGTTTGCTTTTAAACTGAGTCAGGTAAATCAGTTTTGAAACTCCCCTGCAAAACCATGACCTTCCAGTCCCAGCCCCACCATACTTCCCATTTATATATGTGTCCAATTAGCTGTGGTGGAACTATTTTTGAAAGAAATTATTTTAAAGTCTCATACTACTGCCTATGAATTCATCTTTGGGGAAGATATATTTAAATAGAACAAACCTTAATAATGTATTTTTGACACCATTGCTTTCTCTGTTTCAAATACTTGCTTTTTTTCTTTTGGAAACAGGACTTACGACCTGGAGATGTATCTAGCAAACGCAACCTTTGGGAAAAGCAGTCAGTTGAAAAGACCACTTCTCCTTCAAAGGTGACCATCTCATTTGTTCTTATCCCCCCATTTCTGGGGGGAGGGGGTATCTCTGAAGTCCCTTTCAATTACACTGCTGAATTTCAGTGACATAATTGCCAAACCTAGAAGAAAGATGTAGAATAGGTCCTAAACTATTTATTTATTCATTTGATATACTATATGTCCTATCTTCCAATTCTATCTGAAGGTGGTTAATAATATTTGAACAAAAATGTAACACACAATTAAAATGAAAAATGATACTAATATAAATTAACCATTAAAACATTAACTGTTTTCCCAATACCAAGGCAGTGGAGGCAACAGTCAAAGAACAGCATTTCAGGGCCTGAGAGCAATGTGGACACAGGCATTTTCAAAAGGTCTTCTGCAGATTTGAACACTCAATTTTATAATGGGAGAGACAGTCCCTTAGATAGTCCCTATCCCGAGTAAGGTGTTAAAGATCAATTAAACACATTAAACTGTGCTTGGTAAGCAGTTGAGAAACAAAATAAATCTTTCAGTATTTGCATTATGTGAACCCCTGTATGAACTTCTGAATTTAGTAATCTAGCTGCCCCATTTGCATTAACTGCAACTTTTCCTTATTTTTCAAGGATAGTCCCATGTAAAGTATATTGCAGTAGTCTAGCAAGATGAAATAAAGGCATAACTGCCACCAAATCTGACTGACTCACAAAGTCACAGCTGTGTACCAGGTGGAATTGTGCAGAAGTGCTTCTCACCAGAGTTGCCACCTATGAATCTACTAACAACTGAGGATCAAGGAGCATCCTCCAACTGTGTATCTACAAAGACATCCTGTCTACAAAGAGGAACTAATCAATGGGCAGTCCTATTATGGTTTATTTAATCTGTCATTAATTGCAAAGATTGAGTTAACAAGTGGCAGCCCTCATTCTCCATACACTATATCAATTTCCTTAAGATCTACAAACCAAAAAAAATCCAGAATAATAGTGCAAGCAGTTGTGGAGGCTAGTTCATTATAGTCTCCTTGAACACCAGAGTCCACATTGAGATGGAACCATTTGGCTTTGTCCACAAAGAATAATGGAGATTGCTTGCAATGAGCCATTTGGTATTCTAGCAACCTCCATCCAACATCTTGGTGGGAGATGCTGCACACATCAAGCTGTTCTATGCAAATATAATGCCTGGGGCATTTCCACATCCCACAGATCATCCAGAGCATCAGCAATTTTACTAATGAGCACTATGGGAAATTCCCCAAGTCAAGAAATCATCCAGATCAGTCAGATGCTTGAATCAGGCCATTTTAACTGATCCTTCTCCCCTGCAGAGGTGTGTACCTGCCATCAATCTAAAATTGTCCAAGGACTGATCCAGCCATGACAATGGAGTAACACTGGGTTCCTCCACTGTCAGATCACCAGTTCTACATGAAGAGAAGACCAAGTACAAGAAATGCCCTGCTACAGATACCAGTTTGGGGCAGGCCTGCGGTTGCCATGGAGGACATGAAACCCTGACCTGCCCCTGACTGCACCACCTCAGTGTGGACAATGACATCCCCCAGGATGACCCAGGAGCCTTGGGCAATGCAATGCTACACTCAAGATCACCCCTACAATCTCTGGCAGAGAGACCATTAGACAGCAAGGAAGACAATGAACCAAACGGTTACCAATTAGGTTAATCATACAATAGTTTTAACACAGTTAAAACACAATTCCCCCTTCTTTCTCCCAAATTTGGAGGTGGGGGGAGAAATCCCAGCCTGGCTTTTCTGTGTCTCATACTCTTTCCTGCTCTTCCCATGATTTTTACCCCTGAATGTTCATCGCAGATCCCAGCCAAAACAACTGTCCACTGAATTTCTTGGGATTAAATATACCACTAAGAAATAAAGTCTATGTCTCTGTAACTTTTTTTTTTTTTGTACTTTTCTTTTCAGAATCAGGTCACAGCAACAGGAAGGAAGTTGGAGACCAATGGTAAGCAAAAATGAACATTTCAGTATTTGGGATGAGGCATGGCATGAGCAAGGTGTCTTATGGGACCCAAAACCTTAATTTTGAAATAATTTTAATAGGATTGTCGGACAAACAGTGTCTCCTCCCCAGTGGCTTGTCTCTGATGGCAAATGGGGTTCCTTGGCTGGAGTCTGTAAGAGGCCAACAGCAGACCATTCACTTTCCTGGCTAGTTTCAAGGGCTCTGAAGATGTAGGCCACCCACAGATTATTGTATTGTTCTTCCTCAGGCCTTCTTGACAACAGCACTCCTCTTGCTGCTGTACCTTCATCTCATGTCCTCCTTTATGTTTTCCAAGAGATTCCTGTTACTGTATTTTCTTCCTGCCCTCCCACATTGGGTACATTTGCCTTTGAATTGGTCCACCTATCACATGAAGCCATGATTTGCTTGACCATGGTTTAGTGAATAAGCTACTGTTGGCTGGGCTTGCTCAACAAGACCTAAATTCATGATCATGGTTTGCATACAGCAGTGGCTGGATCCATATGTAAGAAGCCAGAATCTAGCTAGGCTTTATGGCTTAATGTAAGGTATATCATACTCTTTCTGTTCACATTTCTGCCTGCTAAGTAGAAACAATTACTTTTATTTCCTTCATTGTCTGCTCTTTACTTGTCTTGTTAAGCATCTCCAATTTGAGTAGGAATTAATGAGCCTTTTGAAAACTTTTTAATGGTCCTCTGCGGGATCCATCTTTTTTCAGGCATTATGCCAGTACTGAGTTATACTTGCTTACCCAAGAATAAGCCCATTCAAATCCAATTTTGCAGCTGTATATACTAAAATAGTATATTCCCTATGAATGAGGAGGTAAAATTTGAGCTGAGAGCAGGGAAAAAGTGTGGAGCCTTTAAAAACTAAGTGCTTTACTAATTTGCCTTTTGAAAATAAACTATCAGTGGATATTATTTTAAAGCTGGTCAAGGTCAAACTTACTGGAAATCTCTTCTAGAGTGTGGGGAACAAACAAGAAAGAACAGCTCATGCAGTCCTTAAGACTTGGTCTTAGCATTACATCCTAAATCAGCATATCCTTGGGCAAGTAGAGATGTTCCAGCTAAGCCCCAAACGTTGACATTTCTGGTGATTCTAGTCAACCCCACCACTTCTCTTTCTTTCAGCAGGTTTGAGACAATTTGAAAAGGAGCCTTAAGGAAGCCACCAATTACGCTGGACCAACTTGGTTTTCAAAACAGAAGTGCTAAATTTGTCCTTTTCTTTTTATATATATTTATGTTTGTTTGTTTTTGTTGGGTTTTGAGGGGGGGTTGGCTACATTATCCCAGTTTTTAAGGAAACCATGTATATTAGCACTGTATTTAATAATCAGTCTTAAACATTTGTCTTAATAGTAGTGCCTTGTAATGAGAGCCTTATTCCTCAAAGAAATCCATGCTGTGAATGAGAGACACTTCTACTGATTAGTCCTAACAAACTGTGCGTCCAGACTAGAACCATTCGACCTGCAGGAGAGGGACATCTACTGTGCACACCTTCCACGTGTGGGTCCTATCCCAAATAGGTGAGGCAAACAGAGGGCCAGGATAGGAGGAACACAGGCTGGGTCATTCACAAGCAAAGCACTTGATCAGTGGCCGCTCAAGGGTCAAGGCAGAGTCAACCTCTTTGCTACTATTGACTTATTGTTGACTTGTTGAGTGTAGAAAGGTTTGGTATAATTCCCTGTTAAGAGTCTCCTATGCAAGCCTATCGTGATCTACAGGACACTGTATGATCGGTACACCATCCTTGGTGGTTCACCACTTTTGAAGGAATGGTGGAGTTCTCTCCCTTTGCTCTCCAGCATCATGTTGCAGCTTAAGAGGAGATGCCACATGTTTTGCTGCTGGAGTGCCTAAGCCATCACTAATGTTTTGCTTGGGACATGCCTGGTAAGTGGAGGGCATCCTCTCCTTCCATAAGGTCATGTGCAGAGCAAAGGAGTCTTACTTTCCACGAAAGGAATACCATTGGGGAGATGCAAGAAATGGGGCTCCATGGATCCCACACAAATATCCTTCTTTTACCTAGGTGGAATGAGCCCCATTTTTTTTCCTTTCAGCACTTTAGAGTGAGGCATGGAAGAAACATGCTGAGTCGACCATTTCCCTCCATAATTAGCCCATGACAAATTAGTGTCAAGTCAACACAACTTTTGTAGTTTTAAGTAGCATTTTCCCTCTCTCCTTTGGTAAGTTATAGTTAATACCCTGAATTTGGACAATTGCAATCAACAGTGGTACTGATAATGTTTCTCTCTCTCGTTTGTTTTTTTAAATTAGTTACAGTTTTAGAATATATACGTTTCGCTTTTCTAAATGTAAGTATAAGGCACTACTAATGATAGAAGGCTTTTAATACTTATTTACTACATTTAGCTATAAACTTACATAACTAGCCAATATCACAACTTTTTTTAAAAAAAAAAATGCACACCTTTTATATTAATATTCCATAATTGCCATTAGGCACATGGCAAGAGAAGTATTAGATTTTTTTTAAAAAAAATAAGATGCCTTTTAAGGGGCAGTTAAAATTATAGTTTTAAACAGGGAAGAAAAAAAGTTTTAGGTCATAGGTCACGTGTATAAAGCAATATAGCTAATTTATATAGAACTACCATAATTACCACACAAGACATACATGCACATGCGCTGTTGGTAATACTTCTTTCCACCTTATTGCACACTGAATTTGCTCTTTATCAGGTCTGTATACATTTCTCACATTCTCGCTTTAGAAAACAGAAAGGTCACAATCCCTCCCATTGCCGTACAATTCTGCGCACGAGTCACCCTTGGTCCTAGGTGTGCTGGCAGAGGCAGCCCAGGGTCACTTGTATCCCACCTGGTACCTTCCAGATGCATTGGGAATCTCAGGAGTTGTAATCCCAACACATCTGGAAAATGTCAGGTTGGGAAGGGCTCTCCAGCCTTCTCCCTCCCTCCTCCAGAAGTCCACATGTCCACATCCCTTGTGCTAGAGAGCAAGCGCCTGCTGAAGTCCAGGCAGTGAGAAAGGAGGCTTCTGTAGAGTCCAGAAGCATCCCCAGAGAAGGTTATCTATTGTGTCTCAGTCCCTCCACCCACATGGTCTCTATTTTAACAGCCATATTATTTGACCTGTATATAGTAACTGCAAAAGTCTTTTTTTAAAAAACAAGTTTGAATTTACAAATTACACGATGATAGGCTTTTACACTCATACATTGGGGTGGAGTGAAGTGAATACAGTTGAGTTTTATTTAGAATTTATAGCCCACCTCAGATGCCATGATAGCTTGAGTATGGTTAATTTCTTTATTCAGGTTTACATTTTTATTGCATCTGTTTGTCCTTTTTAGTTTTTTTTAAGGGGTTAAGATGGAGTAGCAGTATCCAAGACAGCTCCATTGCTTTTGTGAATCATCAAGTTTACATATGAATTTCACTGGGGCTTACAGGATGGATCAGAATCATAGAAGAAACAACCTTGGATCTGTCTGTGGTTTGGCTGTTTGTTTTTTAATACAGTTTGGAATCCTTACATCTGAATACCTACCATAAACTAGTATGCTGAATTTGTAATTCACAATAAATGGAGTTTTTCTGCCAGATGGATGGATCGATTTTGTTTCTCAATCAGGGCTTATGTATGTCATCAGGATCCCCAGGTGGGAAGGGTGCCAAAAGAATGGAGTACTGAAGGCAGCAAAGTCCTGCATGTGAAGTCAGGACTTAACTGTTTTTGCACAATATATTTGTAGTTTACACAATCCTGTGTTTTGGGTTTGTAAGATACCACATAGCAATCTAGGCCAAAATGGGGTGAGCTATATTGTGGCTTAGCATGTCATGTGAATGTTGCTGTTGTGAGATGGGGTGCCTAGGATGCAGAAGGGAAGTAGGATGGAGTTTGTATAAATTGCTTGGTTATATGAAATTGTTGCATGGGTCTGGCTGCTTAGTGTATAGGGATATTTCTAATTCCTTACCCCAAGTTACATCTTAGATGTAAGCATTAAAGTGACCAAATAAATCAAGCTTTTCTTTCATGAGTGGAGGAGGGATGGTCAAAGCGAAATGAATCAAACTGAAGAACAGGTTTATCTCTCACTAGCAGTGTGATGACTCTATCCCCAGATCAGCTTTCTGCCCAACTTCTTCAGATCTTGCACCCAGGCTTCTTACAACAGCGTGAAGGGAGATAATGGGGTTGATCTGCATGCTCAGAAAACGAATGTGCCACCTTGGGACCACATGGATGCAGGATGGAAAGCTTCCGTACATCAGTGTCTCCATCCATCAAAAGCTAACCCAGAGGGTAGGCAAGGAGGAAAGTGAATAAACAGACTGGGCAGAAACAGTGCATGGGATCTTGACCTTCCAAATTATTTTTGCTTAGAGACAATTTTGCTTTATTATGGTTGCAGTTAGATTCCAGGTTGGGAATTTAAAACATACGGAAATGTAAGAATGCCTCAAATTACCTAGGAACAGCTTTGACACATACACCTTTGACATACATACATACTCATCCTACTGTTGCCTTTTTGTGGTAAGAAATGTTATGCCAAGTGCAGAAAACCAGTGAGAAGTAGCAGACAAAAGAAACTGAAGGCAGGAGATAAGTGGAAATAGAGATTCCTAGCTCACCCCACCACCTTTCTAATAAGCCATCCTTGCTTGCACCACATCCATACACGGTTTTGTACTGTCTTCTCTAACTTCTCTCTTTTTGAGGATTTCACCAACTCTGTACAATCACTGTCTTCTCAGCCTTCCCCTTGCTCTCAACCACTCATTCTTCCTTCATATTTGTTTTGTACTTCCATCCTCATTCATTCTGACAAAACCACCTCAAGGCAATTATTTTGTATTGTTCGTTCACTTTGTGTTCAATTTACATTCATTCAGCACCCATTCATGCTTGTCTCTGTTCTTGTTTTGCCCCACATACCTCTTAACTATCCCATTCCTACTGCATTTAACTTACTTTCATGTTTCTCTTGACACACCTCTTTCTTCTGTATCATAAAGTAGGCAGAAGAACACATTTCTGCTTCTTTCATCATTTCCTTCCTTCCTTCCTTCCTTCCTTCCATCCATCCATCCATCCATCAGCTTTTGTACATACAGTATTAAATTATTTCCATTTCCCTATCTTAAATAAATCAAATCAAATCAAATCTCTATTACAGTCATAGACCAGTATATCTATCTTAAATATTCTACCAAAATACACAAACTTATTTACTTGTTCTAATTCTTCACCATTTATGTATGCAATCATTATTTCCATTTTCCTCGTCAAACACAACTACCTGAGTCTTCGGTGCATTTATTTTCAGATCTACATTCTTGTCTACTGTAAATTATCTTGGAGGCCAACAGTTTCCTGCATCCCACCAAGCAGGAGGTACATGCAAGAGACTAATATACTTAGGATATAACAACATCCTTCCGCCACGGAAGAAATTCTGAATGGGGAAGCCAGCAAGTCTTAAAGTGGGAAAGCTGAGACCCACACCAGCTAGGCACCACACACCATTTTCTAGCAGGGAATAGGCATCTAAATAAGCTGGACAAACACATGGCTCCTGCTCCAGAGTGGAACTGGGTGATTCTATTTAAAAATAAATAAAAATGAACTCACCGGCCCATTATGTGCTCATACTGCTCATCGATTTACCATGTCATTTCAACCAATTGTTTAATTTGTAATATCAGCTCAATAATTTGTTTCTAAATGCAAAGAATCAGCATGAAAATCTTCAATATATGTTCCTTACCTACCCTCTAGATTTTGCCAATTATTATGACATCACTGGGGGAGGAAGAAGAAAAGGAGGAGCATTATCCATCTGTGATTTCTGGAGGTTTCTATCTGATAACTCACTCCATTTTTCAGGATATGTTTCCTTCTTTCACATTTGTGTGTGTGGGCAGGGGGGCTACTCTGTTGGTTAAGACTAGTGACAAAGATAAATTTCCACATGACTGAATTCCACTATTTTTCAGGGCCAGAAGTCCAATGGTAAGTAGTTGACTTTGAATGAATAATCTTATGATTGATGGCAACTGCAAGAATAAGACAAGGAGGATGCATTAGCTTAAACATTTTTTAAAAAATCAACACAATATCCATTTCCAACATAGGTTTGATTTCAAACAAGCATATTTCAAATCAATTCTGCATTATAAACCCAACAGCAACCAAAGAGAATGGCAACTAGAAACTTTTTCTATTTGATTGTGGGAAATGTTCTAGATAAGATGTGGAATGCAAGTGGCTGATAGAAGTGGCTACACCAAATAAATGAGAATAGAAATAATTTCCTTGTTCCAAAGGCATAGCTCTCCTATCTTATTTATATCTCAGTGCTCTTCCCAGAAACTCAACAGTGTATGTGACTGTTCTCCTAATTCTTAGAACTATAAAGTTGGCTACACTTGAATTATTAACTGGTGGAGCCAAGATAATCCAATTAGTTTTATAGCCGAATTGGAACCCGAATCGCTCCAGCCTCGGTATGTAATCCTTTCTCCATGCTGTATCTTTACAAGCTGATTTCACAGAACCTGGCTAGTCTAAATATTGTTCAAGCATAGTTTATTGAAAAACTCACCACTAGCTGAGTTTACACAATATACCAGATCATCAACTGTGGTTTATAAACCACAGTGGCTGAGCTCATATAACATGCTAAGCTTTGGACTTAATTACATTATCACTTAGCATAGGGGTGGCCGGTCTTGACTGGGGGTCAAGAATTTGTTTTGGGTACTAGGGCTACAGTGGATGGGTGTCATTATGCAAAGTGGATGGGACCGGATTTTCTTCTCCCACTTTGTGTTTTGCATTGGCTATGGAGGTGTTTTCTTTATTTAAAAAAAGAAAAGTCCCTATATTAAGCCTACTGTATTTAAGGCTTACTCTATAGTTTATGGTTCTGCAGCGCTTCAGTTCCAAAAAGGTGCTCTGGCATTTGTGTGGGTGCATACCTAGCTGTAGAGAGCCACAGAGATGACCTTGGAGAAACTATGCTACAACATAGTAAAACAAAAACATGTTTTAAGCCCAGGAATCAAAGATAACATTAACAAGAAATTAAAATTGACTCTGCCTTAACCCCCTGGGATATAAGAGGGAGGGAAGGCAAAATGCAGTCAGACTTCACGATTGTTTTTATAGTTTTTTCCAATAAAGTAGAGTTCCAGCATTTCTGTGGAGTCTGTGACTTGGTTTACCTCAAAGGGCTGATAGTAGCCCTTTCTCCAACTCCAGTGGTGTCTTTTTCTGGGGTCACCTGGAAACTCTGAAGGGTAGCCATGCCACCTCAGGACCATCTCTGGGGATTAGGAGTAGAAGACACTGTTTTGCAGAGATTCTCCTCCTTTCTTCAGGCTGGTTCCAGTCAGAGTTGGTGGGTGGGGAGGGATCCAGCCTACAACTCTTGCTTGTAGTGGTCCCACATGGCTCCACACTCATGCCACTTTTATTCAACATCTACTTGAGGCTCCTGGGCAAGGTCATCCTCTGGCATCAGGAATCATCAGTATATGGATTATACCTGTTTTATATCTTGACCTCAGGCCAAATAAGTGATGCAGTGAAGGTCCTCTCCTGGTGCTTGGAGGTTGTAAGGATCTGGATGGGAAGAAATGAGCTTAGGCTCCATCCTAGCAAGACCAAGTGGCTTTGGTTTCAAGAAGTGCCAGTCACAGTGATCTACTATCTTTAGTACTTGACAGAATGACACTACCCTAGGTAGAATTGAGATTTAGATTGGGCTTCTGCTCAATGAACTGGTGGCAGGTGTGGCCAGAAGAGCTTTTGCATAGATCCCTCACGTGCACCAATTATGGATTGGGATGCCCTTCTTACAGTCCTGCGCATCCTAGTAACTTTCCATTTGGACTGTTGCAATGCTGCATGAATAGTGATGGGCGCTTCTTGCTTTGCCCATGGAACACCACTGTTCTTGCAAATTGCATTGGCTACCAGTGGGTTTCTGTATACAATTCAAAGTGTTGATGTCACCTATTTATGGCTCACATCCTGGTCACCTATCGGCCTCTTGTTCTCTTGTTGTCTCTGCCCAACTGGTAAGATCTGGAGGAGGTGACATGATCAGGACCCAGTTGTAAAGCCCTGTCCCCTTGTGGGACCTATAGGGAGCTGTGTCTTCTTGGGAGCTATGTCTGCCCTGTAGAACAGAATGCTTCCTGAGAACTATACAGCCCCAACCATGTTTACTGTAAAGCTGTAAAAACCTGGCTCTTTCATCAGATCCCATTATAGGATGATGGGCTTTGCTCCCCAATGATCGTTCAGTGGGGAATATGTCTGTGTTGTTCTCCTCCCCTATATGCATTATGTAATCTTTGGGTGACTTTGCTGTTGTTTTTAGTTGTTATTTACCTGGTATTTTAATGCTATTGCATAAGCCTCTCTTGCATGAACCAACAAATAAATATAAGTGGAAGAGAACAATTCCTAGTGAGAAGAAGAGAAGCTGTAATCCATTGAGGACCAGAAAGGGAGGTGGAATTGACCATGAAATCCAATCTGTCTAAAGAGGCTGCCTTTTTATCAAGGGAGCTCACCCATACCCATACAACAAGGGAGAGTTCATGCCACAGGCTGATCGGCCATCATTGCTTCAACTGGTCCCAGAGGTTTTGTGCTGTCTGTGTGAGAGAGAACCACAGAGCGGGGAACTTGCAGAGAAACTGACATGCAACATCAAAAAAGCCTGTAACACCCAGTGCTGCATCAGTGGGTGCAAAGCAACCCCAGCTGGGCCACCATGGCTTTTTAACAATAAAAAACAACAGCAACATGCCTAAACATAAAACGTATTTTTACATTTCATTTTTACGTTTGTAAAGGGCCGTGATGGCCCACTGCTGGCACGGGCGGGAATTTCTCCTGGCCTAACTAAGGTTCTGCACACCCAACCAATGAGGTGTGAGGAAGACAGGTCTCTCCATAATGATTCTTGTAATTAAATCGAGCCTCCATGTTCAGGGCAGCTTAGCTCTGATTATCAGGACACTTTATCAGGCAAGATTTACGCAGGGCTTTCTGAACGCATCTGATGGGGCTGTGTGAGAAACAGGACACCGACAAGATCTCTCTCTACCCTTTTCTCACCGTGTTTAACTGTCCCCACGTGCCCAGTGATGCACGCAAATCAGCACGGGACTGATGTGCACGTGGGAACAAGGCTGGGTCAGGTAAAGAGGACTTCATTTAAAAAAAAAAAAAATCACAATCCCTTCTGTCCGCATCCATCGATCTCCCCCACCTCCCAGAGAACATGGAGTTATAAAGAGCAGGCGGGCGCTGGAGGGCGGGAGAAAAAGGCGAAAAGGGTCAGGTCCCACCACCTCCGCTGGGCCCCCTCTGGACTCGCCCGAGCGAGCGAGCCTCGCGTCGGCGGACTCGCCCCGCGCCGCCCTGACCGCCGTTTCCACCTTCAGCGGGGCGCGAAGACGCGCTGCGAGAGAGCCGAGCGCCGCAACAGCGGGAGGGGGCTCCGTCAGCCAGCCCAAGCCAGCCAGGGCCCCTCGGGACGCGCGGCTCCATCTGCCATGCGCGGAGTGTCGGGCGCCCCTTGCAAGCCTCTGCCCGCGCCGAGCCCGGAGACGGGCGGGTTGGCTTTGGTGCTCGGCCAGCTCCGCGCGCGCAGCCGCGCTTCCCCGTCCCTTTCTGCCCGGGAAGACGCTTTCGCCCCGCTTGCCGCGCCCGCCCCGAGTCGGTCTCACGCCCGGTCGGGGCTTGGAAGGGAAGGA